AGGCTTAAAGAATCTTGTAATAGATTGATGTTGGAGTACCTTTCATTTAGTTGGAAGAGGTAAGTGGAAGTAAGTTAGCTCCATCTGAAGCTGTTGGGGAAATTGCTTTAGAGCTGGGATTGTAGCTTTGTACGGATAGATTCTTAGCTCACCGACCTGCTTCCCTGATGAATCCTTGCTGATCTATCGTCCTTTATGTGACGGACGTCGTCAGAACAGGACAACATGCTCAACAATGATTCACCAAAACACTAAGACAAGGAAGTAGGTAGGGTTGAAGCCGGATGGGGTCGAAGGTCGGTGCGCCGAGGACCTATTCGCACAAAAGGCTTCAGCACACATTTCTGCATTCAAATACCCCTATTTATCCTACCTGATTGCATAACTAATTGCATATCAACTTGCATGCTTACTTTTAACATCTGTGAAATATATTTAATTTTACTTTGACTAATGAATTATTATATCATTTTCGATCTATTCTAGATGGCGCAATTCGTTCCTGTTCAGCCTCATTTTCGGAGTGCCCACAATGCTTATAATGGCTGTTTTTATGTTGATTTGGCCCCATTCAATGCCCGATGGATGTCCTGAACACATGCTCCTTACTCCTCGTTCCTTGCTTCCCAATGTTTCCGCCTCAGATGCGCTCACTTTTTCAAGTTCGGATCACGCAAGCAATCAGTCTGTCCTTATTTCTCATCCACCAGAAAGTATTACACCCATTTGGCCAGTTTTTGAGCAGCTCTCTCAATTCGAATCTGCTTCCTTACCGGCAATACCCCGAACGACAGCAGTTGATGCACAATTAAGTGTCGAATCTCTCTATTCAGTTCATTGGTCACATGCTGGCCCCTCTCCAATGGTATATCCTGGCCTGTCATGGGAGAACTTATTTATGCTACTTCTTGCCACACCCGTTCAGGTAAAGCTATCAACTCTACCAAGTGTGACTCCCTCGAAGTTTATCTATCTACCATTATTGAATTCATTCATCAAACAATCCTTTTTAAATGTGAAATCAATAAAATTATGCCAAATCGATTCATACTGGATGTTCGAGCCTCTAAATGAAAGCTGATTTTTTAATACCCGATATTAAATCCACTATATTGCATATTTTTACTACGTCGCCTTAGTTTTAAGTTTTCCGGCCCATTTTGCGGATAAGAAAGAAATTAATATCCTATTGTAAATATATATTTATTTGCAAACTTAATTAATATTCAAACATATACTAAATTTGACCAGGAATAGGCAATACACGCTGCTTTGCGAAAGAAGGAAAACGCATTAGAATTTCACCTAAATTGCGCAGGAATGTCACTTTCCTGCATAAAACGTAGTGAACAAACTGATTTCAATTTGCTACAAAAAGACGATATAATGGATCTTTAAAAATGAAATTATCAGAATTTTCAAACATTCTACAACCATAAAAAAATTTTTCTAGATATTTATTTTGGATTCATAGAGGCTACGTCGTAATAAGGTTCTTGATTCTGGTCTGCTACTTGTGATTAAGGAACAGCTTCTATGAATAAAGGATTGTGCGTAATAAAAAATATTGATTTATAAGAGAAGTTTTTTTAGCTTCCTGAAATACCTTTTTTGTTGATAAAACCAACCAGTACTCTTTGAATAGTATCCGCTAGGCTTATTCATATTTCTTCCACTTGAAGCTTTACTGTCTTCTGCAATAATAAGCGCTGTTTAAACGCCTTTTTATCCACTTTGCTTCACGAGCAAGATAGCACTATCATGGTTTATTGTGACATGACTTTCCATTTAAAATGAAAGGTTGGTTAGAAGGAATTCGTGATGTGGTCTAACCGGAAACCAAAGGACGATTGCCGCGTAGGTAAGACTGTTGGAGTGTGCGAATAAATCCTAGGCTCACCGTCCTGCGACCCCGACGAAATTGTGCTAGGCTTTCGTTTGTAATGTGACATCATCAGTACACGAAGTAGAGCAAAAATAGACTAAACTAAGAGAAAAGGTAGTCGGCTGCAACCCTAGTTGTTTTTATACACACCTAATTTCGCTATTTTTATGAGACATCCGATGACTTG